CCCGCTCGTTCCCATGCATGCGTCCACTTGATTCCCCTCCTCCTAATTTTTGCCATCTGTGCTGGGAGCGGCGTACTGAGGCATCATCGTCTCTCTGGCAATAATGAAGCGAGGCCGATGTAGCGGCACGTTCCGGGAGGCGCGAGCCAATGAAAGGGAAGCATATCGAGACGGCCGGGCACTCGGCACGCCGATCCCGGCGGACACTCGGAAGGGAAGGCGAGAGAACGTTGGCAGTCCATCGTAACGCCACAATGATGCTTCCCACATCGCCAACGTGGAAAAATCTCCCAAAAATGAGCAGATGATACACGCCCCGCATTTTTATCCAATTAATCGATGGAATGATCAATAGAATAATCCATTTCCTTGGAAATCACAATGTCTCGTCACCGGTCGCAAGAGGCCCGTGAGCGCCATGCGATCACGATCAAAATCGCTCATCCGGGCTAACGTTTTTAACGTGAGCGTTAGCATGTCTGGTCATGGTGGGGAAAACCGTCACTCGTAAGACAGCCCATGCGCAGAATTTTCTTCCTACTGGTGCGGACAAAGCGCGGACACGTACGCGGCCGGGCAGCGTGTGGAGCAAATGCTTCGGAAATGTCGTTAGCACAAGCTGAGCGCTCGAGTGACAAGAAGGCGCCAGCAAAAACGAGCTACTGGTCACACCGTCGAATGAGCTCGTGTTCTCATTTGATTTCATGTACTTGCGGTGTTGGTTTTTTTTTTTTTTCTCTCTTTCATGCCCCCCCCACCCCCCACCCCTCGCGTAAGTTCATTTGCTGCACTTTCAGTCCGGTCACAATGTTGCGCTTACCTCCATGAGCGACACGACAGGCTCCAAATATTAGGCACAGGGTTGCCGATTCGAATTTTCAAGACAAACCACAGTGGAACCTCGATTTCGCCAATCCAGCAGACTCGGGATTTGCCGGACAGAACGTTTTGTCTTGTCCAGTCAAATGGCCCTTTTGAACAATCGCTGTCAAAGTCTGCTTGTTCAGACCGCTTACATGTGTTTGCGCTTTGGGACTCTATTGTTGCCGATACTTGTACTGTAATTCTTTCTTTCGTCTCACACACACACACACACACACACACACTTTGATATTAGCCACAACGCATTGGCGTGAATGGGATTGATTGTTGCGGCACCTCAATGGCGGCTCGATTGCCCTTGAATCAACGCAGACGATTGATTCCGCAGCAGGACGCCGAGAACAGAACAAGCTCTTCATCAGCTCGGCATCTTCACTCGCTCACAATCGGCATTGATAAGCGGTTGCTGTGGTAACCCTCAGAAGCATAGTCAAAACGCCCCCACCCCCACCCTTGAGAATAATGGAATGACAGCAATCCCTCGGTTACGTTCCAGACCAGTTTCAGACAAGATAATCACTCAGGAAGATCTTTTGCAGGCTGACTTTGATCGTAAGAGAGGAAAATGCTCACATTTGGCCCCGTCGGCGGTATGCGTGCGCTGGCACGTGTCTGCCCTCCCGCGAACGCCGTTGAACGCCAGGGCGCAGGTGTTTGGCAAGTGGAACGAGAGAGAAAGAAAAGGAGGAGCCTGCCAAGGAGTAACGTGAGTGAAAGTCAGAGAGTAATTAGTCGGGCTGTGTCCGAGCGAGGGGAGTGTCAGGCCTCGGGGATGAGGAGTGATTACATGCGACTCGAAGGGTAATTGAATGCTGAAGAAGACCAAGAGGGGGCATGGGGGGGTGGGGGGGAGAATTTATCAGCAGCCCGTATTCAAACACGTCGTGAAAAGATTCAATATGTTCAGCACACATCAAAGAAAAAGGCCCTCATAGCCGTCGCCTGGCCGCTTCTCTCGCTATGTCGCCAGATAACGAGTCGCATAGCAGTACCACAATCGAAGCCGATTGCTATTCTTTGCCACGGCCATCAGTGAATTGCAGATGAAACAAACTTTGGATGAAAGTCATAATCATTCAAAAAACAAAACAAAAAAAAAAAGTGACTTCGCAGCAGCTCTGATGGCAAGCTGCAATTTGCAGACTGCTGACCGCTAACAACTTGGGGTGTG